TTAAAAATATATTTAATTCCTGCGGTTAACAAATTACTATCCTTGTTCGATGCTTACCAATATGCTGAAAGGGGTAAACTTCTGGTGTAGATAGGGTATTCCAGAAATAATACTGCAGGCATGCCTTGTGTTCAACATAAGCCTCAAATATTTTTTGCAGAAGCCAAACCGTTAACCGAAACAATGCGATTCAATATGGGGAACCTTATGCGGAACCAGACCTCAAACCAGTTTTTAAATATTGATTGCTTAAACCACGGTTCCTCGAACTTTTGTTTATAATTTTTCTTACACATCTTGAAATAGAGCTTGGAAAAAATATATGTCAACATCGATTGTAACCATAAGAATAAGAAGAGGAAAAATACGTGCAAACTAGGGTTATATAAATAACATTTTCTTTAAAATGATTAAATAAATCTTAATATCGTTTTACGTTTCCTTAGGATTGTTGTGTGTCGGTGGACTGAATCCGAGCGTGTGTCCAGTAGGGCTGGACGTAAAGTTGCAGATAGACGCGCCGATCTCAAGCCTAAATAGGTAAGCAAGCTCATTTTTGCCAGCAAAAACCAGTAAATAACTGAAATTTAATTTTTTTTTCGCGTCGTGTTCAAATTTGTGTTTAGATCTGTACGGAAAATGGACAAAATGGCAGAGCTTTTACCGACCGTATAAAGTATATATGTTTTTCATCGGGATTATTTTAATTCTTGGCTAGCATACAAATTTTAATTCCATATTAATCAGTTCTCTTAATTTCATTCATTTATTTATTTCTGATATGTGATACAATTTTGTAAATTTAAGGTAATTTTTATTAAGCTAACTATCTCCATGTGTATTCGAACAGTTGATATATCCCAAGACCTTCAGTGCAAACCAGTAGCAACTGATACCCAATGCCAACACCTACAAGGCCACAACCCACTAAAGATCATCCGTCCAGATTTCCAGGAAGACTCAATATGCGGTTACGGCTGAGACAGAAAACTGGAACTGTTTGAACATTTGTCGTACCAATTTAAACAAAATTAATTTGGGATTTTTAATATGCTTAACAACTAAATTCTAATTTAGTTTACGCATAAGCTGAGGAACGGGTATCTGAAAGTCGATGGCATCGACTATAGCGTTCTCTCTTCCTGGCTTTTTATTAATGTTGGTCAGACCTGCCTTTTTTATGTTTCTCATATTGTATTTGCATGTAGCCTTTGTATTTTATATCTAATTAATAGTGGCTTTAAAATACTTATATTTCGTGGAGTCAGATTAAATATTAATTTCTCATTCTCTCTTTAATGTACTTGTACTTTTTCATTCCCCTTTTAGGGGAGAAGGAAAAATATATATGAGCACCACCAACCAACCACCAACAACTGAGGTGATATTATGTTTGCATTCCTTCTTTGGGAAAATAATACGATTATGTGGTGTTATGTACATAATGATTTAAAAATCTTCCACTCTTTTCCTTTGTAAAAAACAGCCCTAAGTGCTCCGAACTCTGGATTCTGCCGGAGGTTTTGATTGTATTGATTTGAATGTTATTCATCTTCAGTGGCTACTTTTTTGTCCACCTATCCGTTGGTATCGTGTCTCTGTCTTCTAGTGTTTGATCTATAAACCACACGCTGGAATTCTGTACAAGTAGTGACGAAGCGCATAAGGAGAGTGTGCAAAGCCGACTTCTTACTACAAGTATATACATATAGCCGCAATATCGAAAATCTGATGATCCGATCATAGCAACACTCAGAGAATAAATCAACTATTTCGTGCTTGAATCAACTATTTTCAGTGTCAAAGCTTCGACAAGCATTGTAAAGGAGAACAAAATTCTAAATTTAAGAATTAATTATATTTCAAGTTTTCTTAAAACAATAAAATATTTTAATTCTTAATTCAAGAACATTTTATTTTTAAATTAAGAACGTATAATATTTTAAATTTTTTTTCAATTTCTATATATACTTAAATTTAACATATGACTGCGTTGCTTATTCTGAATAAGTGCACATGAAGAGTAATTATTTAATAAATGTTTAAAATTCAAAATTGCTCGAATGAATAACAGATTTCAATTTCCAATGTAGATTTAATTGTTTCATTAAAATAAAAAAAATCTTCTATATAACTTAAACAACTTATAATTGAACACATGTGTACAAGTCAGTTTTGTGTGATAACATAATAACTTAGTTTGTATTTCGTCCCTTTGTGTTCCAGTTCGTTAAATAAAATACATGTTTTAATATTAGAATCAATGTTATGAATGTTTATAACTTTTTTAAAATATTCTGCATTTTTAAGAATTTTTTGGGTTCTTTTGGAAAGAAAAAAAGTTCTTCTAATGAGTCTTGATGATCCATAAATAATTTGAAAAATTTTAATCCGGATTTTGTGGCTATGGCCGGACTCAACCTTGAATGCATATTGTGGGTATATAGTCTGGCTTCTTGGAGATTCGACTAATAGTAGCACCGCTTCTTTAAATAATGGATGCAAAATGCACAAGGATTTGTTGTTTCGGCTTTAAAGCTCCATATAATTCGATGTAGGCAATGTGGTGTTTTTGTACAGCATTAATAAGCTTGCTCAGACTTAGGTTATAAGACTATAATCATTAACAAAAACAAAAATAAGTGCCAGTCTAAGTTTTCCGAGGTATTAGGTCATTTATCATTAGAGAAAGAAAAGGTGTAAAACTCAAAGTATCACTTGCGTTCATATTTAAATTATAAATTTTTAAGTGTATGAGATCAAATATATTTGATTTGTTTCCTATCTCTGTTTCACAAAAAGGAAATAAATTCTTTATCCCATTAATATCACTCAATGTAACAACATCGTTTTTAATTAAATATTATATTATATATTATACTTAAATTAGGGATCCCACTGCTGCAATCAAGGAAGCTGTCAGTTTCTGAATTTGATATACATGAAATGCGCCACCTATCTGTGATCGCAATATATGGTTATGTGGGCGGTAGACACATTTAAGCGTTATGGGCGTTAGAGTGGTCGTGGCAAACTTTTTTTTGGATCAATCGATAGGTATTAACGAGATCAATACATTTCAGTTAAAATTTTGCATCTAGCATGCAAATTTAGGGCGCCACAGGTTTGGTCGGCTTGTGGGCGATAGAGTGAGCGTGGCACATTTCTGAAACAGACTTGCGCTGCGCAGGAATCTTAGGAATCTGCATGCCCAATTCCAGTATTGTAGCTCTTATAGTTTCCGAGATCTCAGCGTTCATACGGACAGACGGACATGACTAGATCGACTAGTGATCCTGATCAAGAATATATATTCTTTATGGGGTCGGAAACGCTTCCTTCTGCCTGTTACATACTTTCCGACGAATCTAGTATACCCTTTTACTCTACGAGTAACGGGTATAAAAATACCTATGTTCAATGTACATTGTACATATGTACATATGTTCATACATACGCCGACTAGTAGACGCCTGGCCAGCACAGTTCGCATATTTCGTGGAGTTACATTATTTTTTGAACATTTTCCGGCTGTGTTTGTATTCCATGTTTAATGTTAACAAAAAGTGACCCAAAATCGGTCAAATGATCGGCAATGACTGCATTTCGAAACCCGTTCTTTCCTTATGAAATAGTCACCAAAAAGATGTTCCGAAATGGATGAACCTTAACATTCTGTTTACACGGGTCCGAAACAAAAATTAAGGTATCTGGTACATTTATTTAGAATGCGCCTGTAAGCTGTACCCAGAAATGCACCTACATATATGCAACAACTAAACGGATTCTGTACGCATTTATGTAGAAAGCGGCTGTAAACTGTACTCTGGAATGCACTATTGTATATGCTTTAAAAAATACATATCTACACATAGGCTTTCCCGAGGAATACATTTATTTACAGGATTTTAAATTCAATATTTTTTTTAAATTTAAATATTTACGAACACATATTTTTTTTAATAGGGATCTCTCTTTTCTTCCTTACGGTGGAATACATTACATTATATGTAATTTGTACTTTTAACTTTTATACATATGCCTTTGCGGTTACGTTTTTAATTTTTACTCTATTGTGTTAACTTACCTGTGAAAATATTGATGTAGAATTGGTGGCAGAAAGCAACAAAAATTTTCAAAACACGTGGCACTAACTTCACTTTGCAAAGTACAACTGACGAGAAATGAAAGAAACGAGAAAACAGCGCGCTTCCTTGCATGCTCCCTTTTGACTTTAATATTTTTTTATCAAGAGAAAAACGGTTGTAAAAAACGCCCATCGGCAACTTTGGGTTTCATTTTGTTGTTTACATTTTGCAGTTCTAAATAGCACCGCAATCCAATGCACCTAGCACGCACATTTGGAAAATGACCATGCGTTGCGTAAAAAAATTCGTCCTAGAACTACTTTTTTCGGAATGCATTCCCGAATTTTCGTTTGGGCATGCACTATATTGAAACACATTTAGACGCCCCCGAAACGCAATCATGCGTGTCGTTTTGTTAAAAAAGTTCACTTATGTTAAGTATGTAGGTGCATTGTACACTTTGATTTTATTTACAATGTGCGGCGAAAACGCTTGGTGTGACCGTTCGATCATTTTTGGAAGAACGGCGAGAACGTATAAAAATCCAAACGCTACGGTCAGACGTCATCAAATTTTATTAGAGAAATTAGCAAACGAGTCCTAAACATTAATTAAAAAAAAAATATTTCTATTAAAATTTCCATAAATTCACTTTAAAAAGGCGAGCCAGTTTTGTATATAACTTTCTTTAAATCAAATATATAGTTTTAGTCTGACCGTAGCCTTCGGCAAGCCGAAGCTTGTATACCCATGCAGTTATATGGGTTTTGGAACCCTAGTGAACACATTTTAAGATAGTGTATTTATTTTATCGAAAGTAAAATTTATCTAAACTTCAGTCCGATTTTAATTTTAGGACGACTCTAATTTTATAAGCGTGGAGTAACTTTTTATTTCAAATCAGCTTACTGAGAAACATGTTTTGATAGTACAATGCAAAAAGGTAACAAAAGCTGGAAAGATTTACATACATATTTCTTTGTAATCCCCTTATTACTGAAGAACTCTAAATCGTCCCCAGCGGGTCAGAGGGGTTATAAGCTCCAGAATAAAACAAATGCAACCGAGGCCTAGTCCAGCAAAATATAGGCATAAAACCCAGTACAGATTATCTACTTCGATGTAATCATCGCGAAGAGGCGGACTTAAATCTTCACGTGTTGAATGATTTAATCTTAACATAACCCAGAAACTTCTATCGAGCCAGAGCTTCGTTAAGCCAAACTCTTTTTGTCGCAGCATGTGCTCCTCGAAGAGATCGCGGTACGGCAAATGCCGTCTTAAAGGAAAGCTTAAGATATCAAAATAGTTTACACAGATTGTTTCTGAGTAGTAGAACAGTGGATATGCAAAGATATTTTGTTGCATGTTGAAGGTTATCCAGCGCAATCCGGTCACTGGGTAGATATAGTTGTCATTAAAAGTGCCTCTCAAATGACGCAATTTTGTAAGGCCAAGAACCACTACCTGCTCCTTGCTGACGTTCAAAGAATTCACTACATCTGCATCGTAAATGGATATGGCCATCTTGTACCGAGATTTCCTTAAGTCCGCAAGGGAAGTCATAGGTGGATCGACTGGTGGAGCCCATAGAAAAGTCTGCAGGAAAGCCAAATACATGGTGGTGGTGATTACACTAGAGAAGCCGAGAATCATAAAAATCAGTTTTAGTTTTCTGCTCGAATGACGGGGAAAAGGAAACGGTTGAGCCAAAAATCCTCTCAAGCAGATGTCGTTCATCAGGACGCTGGTCACACTAAGAGCTCGCCAGGATTTTTTCTGGATGTAGATCAGCATCACCGAGATAATACAGAATATAATAAAAAGCACTATCAGGACTGGTGGAGTCACGATCGCCATGTAGATTTCACTGAAAGGCATTTTATCCGGAACAGGAATCATAAAGCAATAAGAACTCATCAGATACGGATAAGAGATCGTATCAAAGTTCGACATTCTAGAGGAGAGGGCTTCGCTCATGCCAATATCCAGAAGATCTTCCGCGGCCCAATTCGTAACGTTTACAAAAGATGGTTCTGCTCCGTTCTTGGCCAATTCCATCTGCATTGACAGGGTAGCATTCACCTTCATAACGAAGTTGTTCAGCAAATTGGCCACGAAACCAATATACCTTTCTTCGCCGGTTGTGGCATCCCGATAGAACATGCATTGAGGTGGTTTCACAACTGGAAACGTTCTGATCGGCGCTCCATGCATGTTTCTAAATTGTTCTATGAAAATCGGTTTACCTTCGGAGAAATTAATTTTTTCGTAGTTTTGATCTTGAAATAGGCGACAGGAGTATACTACCCCGAATTTATCGAAGTTTTCTTTTACCATTGCTATGTTATATTGATCCTTTTTCGAATAGAAGTCGCATACTGTCTCCGGTTGAAAATCTCCACGCAGAAGAATTAGGCGCCTGGCTAGATGCAGCTTCATCAATGTGCGATAGTTCTCCTCCCTCTCGGCTTGAATATCACAACTAAGTATAAGTGTTAGGCTACTGAAATTCCACTCGAAGTTGGTGCTACCCGAAGAAACCAGCACTGTCGGGACTTGTAATCGACTGGCTAAAGAAGGAAAAGCACAATCCCGTCCATAAATCAATAGGGTGTCGTATATTTCCTCCGTTTGCAATCTTAGGAGAAGACCGAACAATCTTTCCTCTAAGTCTTGTTCAGTTTGGCTGGTTATGTCCACAAACTGAGCCCTTGAATTCCCAAGCCAAAGAAGAATAATTATAAACCAAGCCATGGTTCAAAAGTAACTGTTGGAAATTTCGTGCGTTCCTGACATTTTGTACCCTACACACTTTTAGATTGTAAATGTTCAAATGTTCTTCAGGCATGTCATTTCTATGTTTCTCGTATTGTGTTAACAAAACTAAGGGTTTAAGATACAGGTCTAGTTCCATTTAATGAGTAGTTACATTTCAAAATACAAATATTCCGTGCGGCTAACAAATATGCGATTGAAAGAGATTATTTATATTTCTTTGAGGTTTATCAATATGCTAAAAGCGATAAACTTCTGGTTTAGATAGGGGATTCGTGAAATAATTTTGTAGGCTTGTGTTCAACATAATGTTTTCAATGAATAAAATATGATTTGATAAGCCTCAAATTCGGATCTGGAGCTGAAATAAATGGAAGAAGATGCGTTATAGTCGAGTGTCTCGTCTCAGGTGAGGCCATATTGGTGAGGCAAATACTCCTGATAGCGACGTCACTATTGTGGGATCTTAAGAATCTGCATTCTTAATCCTAACGCTCTAGCTTTTATAGTTCCCAAGATCTCAGCGTTCATATACACTCGACTAGCTCTATCGACTGGGCTAAAAATGCATAATGAAAAATATTATTATTTTTGAGGAGAATCAAGTTTTTATACCTGTTAATTGTAGAGTTAAAGGGTTTAATAATTTCATCAAGAAGTATGTATCAGGTATATTAAGTGTGTATGTTCTTGATCGGTTAGCCGAGACCACTGTAAAGACCTCAAACACCCATAACGGCAAGTCTGTCCGTATGAACGCTGAGACCTCGGAAACTATAAGAGCTAGGATATTGCGCTGCGCATGTTTGTTTCAGCAGGGTGCCACGCCCACTCTAACGCCCACAAACCGCCCAAAACTGTGGTTTCTACAGTTTTGATGCTAGATTTTAATTAAAATGTATTGTTCTCATCAATATCTATCGATTGATCTAAAAAAAAGTTTGCCACGCCCACTTTAACGCCCAAAAACCGACTACAAACTATCAAATATAGAGAATTGGGATTTCATATTTAGATTCCGTAGCTTTGTACGCAGCACAAGTTTGTTACGCGAATATGCCACGCCCACCCTAACGCCCACAAGCCGCCCAAGCCTGTGGTGCCCACAATGTTCATGCTAGATACAAAATGTATCCTAAAATGTATTAGTCTCGTCAATACCTATCGATTGATCCAAAAAAAGTTTGCCACGCCCACTTTAACGCCCACAAACCGCCTACAAACTTAAAAAAATCGTAAATATGAACGTGTTTATCTCGGAAACTATTAAATATAGAGAATTGGGATTTTATATTTAGATTCCGTAGCTTTGTACGCAGCATAAATTTGTTACGCGAATATGCCACGCCCACTCTAACGCCCACAAACCGCCCAAGCCTGTGACGCCCACAATATTCATGCTATACACAAAATTTTACCTAAAATGTATTAGTCTCGTCAATACCTTTCGATAGATCCAAAAAAGGTTTGCCACGCCCACTCTAACGCCCACAAACCACCAGAGTCTGTGGCGCCCACAATTTTCATGCTAAAAACAAAATTTTAGCTGTTATGTATTAGTCTCGTCAATACCCATCGATTGATCAAAAAAAGTTTGCCACGCCCACTTTGGCGCCCTTAACGCTTAAATCTGTCTGCCGCCCACGTAACCATATATTGGGATAGCGGATAGGTGGCGCATTACAATCTCCCTTTGGTCCTGAGTAACAGGTATCTGAGAGTCGAGGTACTCGACTATATCGTTTTGATTCCCATCTACATTCTCCCTTGCTTTTAATTCTTACAATTTCAATTCATTATCAGCATTCAAATTAGAATTCTAGAATAATCAATTTTTATTGGACTCTCAATTGCAGTCATTTGTTTATTTGTGATGTAATACAAAATATATTAAAATTTTTAACATTTAAGGTAATATTTAGTAAGCTAACTATCTCCATTTATATTCTTTTAAACGGGTCCAACAGTTTAAAGATCCCAAAACCTCCAATGCAAAGCAGCAGCAACTGATACCCAATGCCAACGCATACAAGCCCAGAACCCAGTAAAGATCGTCTAACCAGATTTCTAGCTCATCCTCTGGCGGCTCGCTGAAATCCGTGTACGGCATAAGTTCCAGCCTGAGCATATCCAAGAAGCTGTGATCGATCCAGAGATCCAACAGTCCAAATTCTTTCTGCCTTAGAATATGCTCTTCAAAGAGTTCGCGATAGGGAAGGTGACGTCTTATGGGAAAACTCAATATGCTGTAGCGGCTGAGACAGAAATCATCTGAGTAGTAAAACACAGGATGATGAAAGAGTTTTTGTTGCTCGTTGTAAGTGCTCCAGCGCACACTGTTCACCGGAAAGATATAGTCGGTGTCAAAAGATTCTCGTAAGCTTAAGAATTCTAGGTAGTCCTCAAAGATCTGGACCCGTGCATCACTCACACCCTTCAGTTTACTATTCCTTAAGACCAACAAGTTTATCTCAGCCCAGTTCATTGCAATCGTGTACCTGGACTTTTCCAAATCGCTAATGGTACGCATCTTCGGCTCGGCTGGCGGACTATACAGAAAGGTCTTTAGGTAGGCTCCGTACATGGTTGTGGTCATAAGGCTGGCGAAGCACAGAAGTAAGCAAATTAGCTTCAGTTTTCTACAGGACTGGCGGGGAAATGGAAACGGCTGTCCCAAAAACCCTCTCAAACACATATCGTTCATCAGGACTCTTGTCAGGCTCAGACCGCGAAAAGACCTCTGCTTGATGTAGATCAGCATCACCGAGAAGATGATGAATAAGACAAATAGCACGCCTAGGACGCCGCGATCTATGATCACTCCGTAGATCTCGTTGTATGGCACCAAATCTGGAAGTGGTATCATGAAGCAGTACGAGCATGTCAAGTAAGGATATGTGAACGTATCAAAGTTAGACATTTCCCCGGTGGATTCCATTGTCATGCCAATATCCAAAAGATCGTCTGCGGTCCATTTTGATATATTCGCAACGAAGAATTTTCCTTCGATGTCGGTCAATTCCTCCTGCATATCCATGGTTGCATTAACCTTTTCAATAAAGTGGCTTATTACGTTGGCCACGTATCCTATCCACTTCTTCTTCCCGGTTGTTGGGTCCTGGGTAAGCATGGATCGAGGTGCCAAGTTGTCGGTGATTGTTCTAATCGGCGCTCCATGCATGTTTCTAAATTGTTCCACAAAAATTGGGTTGACATCGAATAGATTCACTTTTTCATAGTTTCGATCTTGAAATAGGCGACAGGAGTATACTACCCCGAATTGTTCGAAGTTTTCTTTTACCATTGCTATGTTATATTGATCCTTTTTCGAATAGAAGTCGCATACTGACTCTGGTTTTAAGTCCCCACGCAGGAGAATTAGGCGCCTGGCTAGTTGCAGCTTCATCAATGTGCGATAGTTCTCCTCTCTCTCTGCTTGAAACTCACAACTGAGTATAAGTGTTAGGCTACTGAAATTCCACTCGAAGTTGGTGCTACCCGAAGAAACCAGCACTGTCGGGACTTGTAATCGACTGGATAAAGAAGGAAAAGCACAATCCTGTCCATAAATCAAAAGGGTGTCGTATAATTTCTCCGTTTGCAATCTTAGCAGAAGACCAACCAATCTTTCCTCTAAGTCTGGTTTAGTTTTACTGGTTATGTTCAAAAACTGAGCCATTGAATTCCCCAGGCAAAGAAGAATAATTATAAACCAAGCCATGGTGTAAAAGCAACTGTTGGAAATTCCGTGCGTTCCTCACATTTTGTACTCTGCACAACTTTAGATTGTAAATGTTCTTTGGGCATGCCATTTTTATGTTTCTGATATTGTGTTTACAAGACAGGGCTTAAGGTACAGCTCATGTTTCATTTAATAAGTAGTTACACTCAAAAGTACATATATTTCCTGCGGTTCACAAAAAGGCGATTTAGAAAAGATTAGTATCCTTGTTTGCTGTTTATCAATATGCGGATAGCGGTAAACTTCTGGTTTAGATGGGGGACTCCTGAAAAACAAAAAAAAAACCCTGCAGTCGATGGTCTCGACTATAAGATACCCACTACTTAGCTAAAGGGAGTGCGAGAGGGATGGAAATATGCGTAAGCTAATATGCTTTTTTCACTAACACACAGCCTATAGCGCCACCTAGCCTATAGCGACACCTAGCCTTTAACGCATATAGCGCCCCTTGCAACTTGCTGGAGTATAAGTAAAAACAGCTTATGCTTTTTTCACTAACACACAGCCTATAGCGCCACCTAGCCTATAGCGACACCTAGCTTATAGCGCCACCTAGCCTTTAACGCATATAGCGCTCCTAGCAACTTGCTGGAGTATTAGTAAAAACAGCTTATTTGCTGCATGCGGTATGCAAAATTGATTGAATTGCAAAGTATTAATTATTATTTGCTTAGAACCTTTTTATGACTAGTCCGATTTCAACATTTTTTGGCATGTAATGGGTATTGATGTGATGATAACAAAATGTGGGCTCTAGAATAGTTTAAATGTTATGGGTGTTTGTGGGCGTTAGAGTGGGCGTGTCACCTTGCTTAAACAAACTTGCTCTGCACAATAAGCTCAATAGTTTATATTCCAAATCCTAACTAGCCAGCTTAAGAGCTAGATCTCAGCGTCCAGACAGACGGACATGGCTAGATCGACTCGTCTAGTGAACCTGATCAAGAATATATATACTTTATGGGTTCGGAAACGCTTGCTTCTACCTGGTACATATTTTCCGACGAATCTAGTTTATTTATTTGTTTATATTATTTTTTCAATTAAAAACTGTTTTATTTATTTTTTGTTTATTAAAAAAAACTTTACAGCTTCAATTTCCTAATTTCCACTTTAACACCTTCACCACTGTTTCTCCCTTGGCTGTCATCCTAACTCCCTGGCGAACAGGCTAATTACTCTCGAAGTCTGAAGTCTAAATTGCAAATGAAAAGATTGTATAATGTATAATCTTGTATACCAACACTTTGTTATCCCCTATATTTACAAACTGCTCAAGCTGCCCCATAGGTAGCAGTATCCCGTTATATCTGAAAAAAAATACACTTTTACAAAAAAAAAAAAAAAGTGTTGGTATGCTAGTGATAGTTTTTGCAATACCTTTCGATTTGTTTGTCCTGGTGCGCGATCGCCACTATACATAGCTACTATGATTGGATTCTATGATTCGGTTCTATTATACGATTTTATGATTCGATTCAATGACTTCAATATATGACTCGATTCTATGATTTGATTCTATGATTTGATTCTATGATTCGATTCTATGACTCGATTTTTTGATTCGACTCTATGATTCAACTCTATGATTCTACTCTATAATTCGATTCTATGTTTTGACTCTATGATTCGACTACATGATTCGACACTATGATTCGATTCTATGATTCGACTCTATGATTCGATTTTATGATTCGACTCTATGATTAGACTCTATGATTCGACTTATGATTCGACTCTATGATTCGATTCAATGATTTGACTTCATAATTCGACTCTATGGTTCGACTACATGATTCGACTCTATGATTCAACTCTATGATTCGACTATATGATTCGACTATATGATTCGATTCAATGAATTGACTCTATGATTCGACTCTACGAATCGACTCTATGATTCGACTCTATGATTTTATTTAATGATTCGATTCTATAATTTGACTCTATGATTCGGTTCGATGATTTGACTCTATGATTCGATTTAATGACTCGACTCTCCGATTAGATTCTATGATTCGACTCTATGATTGGATTCTATGTTTCGAATCTATGATTCGACTCTATAATTCGACTCTATGTTTCGACTCTATGAGTCGACTGCGTGATTCGACTCTATGATTCGATTTAATGACTTGGGTCTATGATTCGAATCTATGATTAGATTCTATGATTCGACTCTATGACTCTATGATTCGATTCAATGATTCGACTAATCATTCGATTCTATGATTCGACTTTCGCTGCGCATAGACACCTGGAATCTGGATGCTTAAACCCAACTTTCTAGCTCTTACAGTTATCGAGATCTCAGCACTAACAGACACAGACGGACAGACGTACATGGCTAGATCGACTGGGCCAGTGATCCCGATGAGAAGTATATACTTTATAGAGTCACTTCCTTCTAGCTCTTACATAATTTCTAATACACCCTTTTACTTTAAATCAGGAATTTGTTTCTTAAATTTAGATAGCCTTTTTCCCTCAGTGTGAACATTATAAATTATCCTATGTTTTGGTGCGTTTATTTAACATTTCTTCCTACATTAAATGTTTTGGCTAAGCAAAATAATTAAGATCAAAATTTATCGTAAATAACTTCGGGCACTAGTTTCTGGATTTCCTCCAATACTTCCACTCATTTACTCCAATTTCCAATAAGAAGCAGACAACGCTGATCATCATGGCAGCCAGGTAGAGTTTTAGTATCCACGACACGTCTTGTAGTAATAGGCTTGGAGTGTACGCTAACGGGTGGCTGAGGTCCTTGAGAGGAGTCAGTTTTAGTCTCACCATTTCGAAGAAACTGTGGCTCCTCCAGTAGCTCACGAAGCCGAACTCCTGTTGCCGCATCATGTGGTCTTCAAAGAGGTGGCGGTAGGGCAAGAAAGGACGCAAGGGAATGGACAGAAAAATAAGTCTCGAGAAGCACAAGTCCCTGGCAAAATAAAAGACTGGCTCTTTGAAGATGGTCTGCTGCTCCGCGTAGGCACTCCAACGATCTCCGGTTACCAAATAGTTGTAACTGAGATTAAAGTCGTCCCGCAGCTTATAGCACTCCGGCATATTGTCAAATTCTATAATATTTTCTTTTTGAATTTCTTGGAAATGTGAATTATTAGTCGAAATCAGACCATTAACCTCAATTGAAGGGATTGCAACTCGTTTTTGATTTTTACCAATATCCTGAAAGGAATGAATTCCGTCTTCAGTTGGGGGATTCGTGAAAAATGATTGCAGATATGCCTCGTACATGGTGGTCAACATAATGCTTGCAAAGCAAATTATGCAAACTATTAGCTTTAAATGTCTGTTTGCATTGGAGGGGACTGGAAAAGATTGGCCCAAGAGACCACGCAGGCCTTTATCGTTAAGCACGATGTTGGCCAGGCTTAGATCCTTCCATGACTTTTTATGACTATATATTAGCAGCATGGAAAGTATGCACAGCACAATACAGATAATTCCGAGAATATAGCGATCCACGATCACGGCATACACCAAACTGTAAGGCAGCTTGCCTGGCTCCTGAACCATTAAACAGTAAGATGTGAGAATGTAAGGATAACTCGCTGTTTCGAAGAGAGTTGTACTTAAAGAGGTTTCCAAGGTGGTGCCAATGTCAAGCTCTCCGTCCTGCACCCTCCTTAATATTTCCCTAACGATGGATTTGGTGTCCAAAACGTCCACTTTTAGCGTTGCATTTACTTTCTGAGCAAAAGTATTTACTAAATTCGCTACATAGCCTGTTATCCTTTTATCACCGTTTTTTTCTTTCGAAAGAAGCATAGAACGTGGGGGCAACAGATCTGCTGCCGTTTTAATAGGTTTTCCGAGCATATTTTGAAACTGTTCTATATAAATGGGCGTCTTATCTGATAAACCGACTTCTGCAAAGATAGGATCTTCAAAGTGACGACAAGCGTAGATAGCTCTTGATGAACCGAAGTCGTCCTTGACCATGGCAATATTGTATTGCTCCCTCTGCATATATATTTTGCACACAGAATCCGGGTGATCATTACTTCGTAGGTAAACTAAGCGCCTGTTTCTTTGCAGCTTAATCAGAGTTCGGTTGGATACATTTTTCTCTTCTTCAGGACTACAGCTAAGAACCAGGGTTAGACTGCCGAATTCCCAATCGAATTCTGTGCTACCCGAAGACACAAGCACTGTGGATACATCCAAACGTCTTGATAGTGGGTGGAAAATGCAATCCTTTCCATAGACAAGCAGTGTATCATAGAATTCCTCCACTTGCAGCCTTTGAAGGAGACTAAACAATTTTTCCTCTAAGTCTGAGTTACTTCCATTGGCGACATCCAAAAACCGAGCACTGGAACTGCCAATGCAGAGAAGTAGGATAACTAACCACGCCATGGTTTTCATTTAACTGTGACAAATCCTGCGATTTGCTCACATTTTGTACTATCACGAACAGTTGTGCAGACATGCTCATTTCGTGTTTTTTCACATCGTGTCCAAATGCTTACATGCTACAATTTGGCAATTAGCGGATGCATTTAAAGTGCAAAGAGTTCAGGCTTGGAAAGGGGCTACCAATGTATATTGAATATATACTATATTCACAATACTTAGAAATCCAAAAATTTCTCTCGTATCTCCTACAAAATGCTAAAATTTTGTTATCAGTAGTCTCCAAATTCTCTGGTTGTATATTTTCTTGGAAGTATATCAGACGCCTGTTTCTTTGTATCTTAAAAAGAATACGACAAGTTTCTTTCTTCTCTGATTCAGCCACAACTAGCTAGGCTACTCGAATTTCAATCAGATCTGGTGCTTCCTGAAGAAACCAACACTGTGGGAACATTTAAATATCTGATAAGGGAATGAAAAACACAAACTTCTCCACAGGCAAACAGCGTGTTATATAAGTCCTCCTGGCGAAGTTTGAGAAGAAGGCGAAGTAATCCTTCATCATTTTAACAGTGAGGGCTCCGTTCTTTCCTAAACAGAGGATGAAAATAAACAGCCATGCCATAGTTCGCTGCTTAAACTGTCATTCCTTTTTGATGCATTCATTGCCAAAGTTAAAAGTCTTAATGTCTTAAAAAAATATTATTTTATTAAAGTATTTTATTAAAGCTCTAAAGCTGTAAAGTTTGTCCCAACAATTTCAAGTTTATGTTAGTTTTGTTAAAGGTGTTCCATTGAAATATTGATTTGACTTATGGACGTTGCTAGCATTAGTGGAAGTGGAACGAACTGCCGAACTGTAGAAATAAATCGGGTTTTATTCCAATTCTTAAAGAGTTTTGATGTTTAAAAATTACTAAACCTCAATAGATCGATGAACTGATAAATTTATTTTATTACAAAAACATTTTTTAGTTATAGCATTTGAAAAATTATAATTAATTAAATAAGGAGAGGTTATTGATTCTCAACGAAGGGATCTCCAATTTCTCCACGTACCATATGTATTCGAGCCAATCAGAGCACATTTCTAGTTCATTATGTAGAATTTCCTTCAAATATGTATTATCGCTTTTGACCAGTGATTTTACCTCGAATGCAGAAATTTCAATCTTTGGCTCATACTTGTCTATGTCCTTGAAGCACCCTTGAAGGGGGTACCTGAAGATGGAATTCAGGTAAGCATTAAACATGGTGGTCATGATGCTGGTACAGCAAAGGATACAGAAAACGGAAACGGTTTTCAACGAATTTCTTCAAGGCTGGAATCCTGAGCAGAGCGACGGCATACCTTACTATTGACTTTTCGAAGTTTACCATAGCTATATTATATTGATCCTTTTGCGTATATCGTATAAATGAGTTATGCTGAACATCCTCTGGTAGGTATACTATACGTCTGCTTCTTTGCAGTTTATTGAGAGTGCGGTCGTTAGTTTCCTTGTCATCTTCAGGACCACAACTGAGGATAGGAGCTCGGATTCTGAGTCTTCAGTCAAATTGGTAGCTATTAAAAGACATAAGAACTTTGTGCACATTCAAGCGTTTAGATAGGGAATGGAAAAGAAAATCCTCTTCGTAGACAAGCAGGGTTTCGTACGACTCTTCCAGTTGCAATCTTTGCAGAAGATCTATCAATCAGATCTCCAGATCTATGTTATATTTCATGGCTACATCCCGTAATTGGGCCATTAAGTGGGAAGGCAAGGCAGTAGGATAATTAATCAGGACATGGTATACACAAAACTGTCGGATGTGTCGTGCGAGCCTCACATGTTGTACTTTAAAAGAACTAACTACCTCGGTGGTCTGGCATGCAATTTTCATGTTTTCCGCTTTGTATTAACATGCCTGTGAAGGTCAGGGAACAGGTTATTATTATATACTACTTTAAAGGATTTGGAAAAGTCTGTAACGCTTTGGGACTATGTATAGTTTAATTTTTGAGTTCACGCCGGTGCCTCCACTTTTCTCTAGCTACTTCTGACATGAAACAGATAATACTGATCGCCATGGCGGCCATATAAAGTTTGAGGATCCACGATATATCATCTAATATTAAGCTTGGACTAACCGCTTTGGGCTGACTTAGGTCCTTCAGAGGTGTTATTTTAAGTCTTACCATGTCGAAAAAACTATGACTCTTCCAGTAATCCACTAAGCCGAACTCGTGCTGTCGCATCATATGATCATTGAAAAGATGACGATAGGGCAGATGTCTCCGCATGGGAACAGACAAAAAGATCAGACGAGAGAAGCAGAGGTCCTTGGCAAAGTAGAAGACTGGATCCTTAAAAAGCTTTTGCTGCTCCTCATAGGCGCTCCATCGATCCCATGTCACCAAGTAACTGTAGTCCCGATTTAAGGCGTCACGCAGTTTAAGGCACTCCTGCCAGTCATGAAATATTCTCAGGTCGTTTTCGTGAATTTCACGAAAACGTGTGTTATTGATATTTGTTAAAATTATTCTCTCAATTTCAGTAATTGCAATCTTTTGGTTAAACTTTCCGAACTCCTTGAAGGAACGAATGTGAGGTCCGGCTGGGGGATCCGTGAAGAAAGATTGCAGATAAGCCTCGTACATCGTGGATATTAAAATGCTTGCGAAGCACAGAATGCAAAAAATCAGCCTTAAGTGCTTGTTAGCATTGGAGGGAAATGGAAACGATTGGCCCAGAAGACCTCGCAGACTTTTATCATTAAGCAATATGTTGGCCAAACTGAGCTCTTGCCATGACATTTTCTGGCTATATATTAGCAGCGTAGAAAGCAGGCAGAACAGCAAGAAGATAATGCCAAGGACGAGGTGATCCACTATCGCGGAATACACCAGATTGTACGGCAACTTTGCTGGAACTGGAACCATTAGGCAGTAAGATGTCAGAAGATATGGATAGCTAGCTGTGTCAAGGTTCGTGGAATATAAAGAGGTCTCCAGAGTGATGCCAATGTCAAGCTCATCGTGCTGGACCTTTCTTGATATCTCTTTTAAGCTATGGTTTTGAGTTAGAAAGCCAAACTGCAAGGTGGCATTTACTTTTTGGGCAAAGTTATTGACCAAATCGGCCACATAGCCCTTTGTCTTCATTTCACCGCTTATTGGATCCTGATACTGCATGGATCGTGGGGGTAAGAGATCTGACATAGTTTTGATAGCTTTTCCGTGCATGTTATGAAATTGTTCAATGTAAATCGGACTCTTATGTGATAAACTTACTTCTTGAAAGTTAGGATCCTCAAAGAAGCTACATGTGTATATGACTATCGACTTTACAATGTCGTTCCGCAACATGGCTACATTATAATGATCCTTTTTGAAGTAATTATCACAGACATTCTCTGGTTGGTTTTTATCTTGTAGGTAGATTAGACGTCTGTTCCCCTGCAGCTTTAAAATGGTACGATTAGTTGCTTCTCTTTCTGATTCAGGACCACAACTTAGTATCAGAGTTAGGCTACTAAAATTCCAATCAAAGCTGTTGTTTCCTGAAGAAACTAACACAGTAGGAACATCCAAGTATTTGATTTGGGAGTGAAAGACACAGTCCTCTCCGTATACAAGTAGTGTGTCATAGTATTCCTCCTGACGCAGTTCTCGAAGAAGGTGAAGAAGTCCTTTATCTATGTCACTTTTGGTTTGAACAGATATGTCTGAGAACTGGACAGCAACTTGCAGCCCCAGACAGAGGAGGAAAATGACCAAGCAAGCCATAGTTGCCACACATACTGTTGGTATTTAATGAAGGTATCACCGTTTTGCTTCATTCCTGGTCAATATAAATATTTATCATGTGTGATTCTCATATTTGCAATTAAATAAGTTGGTAACTCTGCAAACAATTTCGAATGATGTTAACTTTGGGATACACCTCGTGTGGAACCGTCCGTGACAATTATTGGCTCTCATCATGCACTTTCCTTGTTCAGTGCTTGTTTGGAAATTCCTTTCTTGAAGTCAGTATCTGGTAGATTTAGTACCAATCTACATGGCAAAAGTTGTTTAGACCAGACCATTTATCAAAAAGTTATTAGCAAATAAAAGAATCGATACTAGGTTTTAAGAGCAATTTAAATGGAAAAGGCTTTGATTACTTTATTTTTAATAAAAATTTTAAAAGATGTATATGACTAATGATGACTTATTACTCTCCGTTGTCCCGCATATAAAACCTCAAACAAAAAGCAGAAGATGCTGATCACCATAGCGGCAAAATACAGTTTGAGTATCCAGGAGATATCCTGAAGCAGTAGGCTTGCTTCAAAAACCTTTGGGGGGCTTAGGTCCTTGATGGGCGTTATGCCCAGTCTCACCATGTCAAAGAAGCTATGGCTCTTCCAGTAACTGACCATGCCAAATTCCTGCTGCCGCATCATGTGCTCCTCGAAGAGGTGACGGTACGGCAGATGTCTTCGCAGGGGAATGGACATGAAAAGTTGACGGGAGAAGCATAGGTCCTTTGCGAAGTAGAAAATGGGCTTTTTGAAGAGTTTCTGCTGCTCGGCATAGACGCTCCAACGATCTTCCGTCACTAAATAACCGTAGCTTAGGTTGAGCGAGTCACGCAAATTCAGATAATCCTTCCATCCGTCAATGATTAGTAGTTCACGTTTGTTTATTTCAGCAAATTGGGAATTATTCGTAGTTATCAGCGATGTCATTTCGAATTTGGGCAGTGCAATCTTCTGATGATATTTGCCAATATCCTTGAAAGTACGAATGTCATGTTCAGTTGGTGGATTTGTAAAATAGGACTGCAGGTAGGCATTATACATGGTGGTCATCATAATGCTGGCAAAGCACAGGATGCAAAATATTACCCTAAGAAGTTTGCCTGGGTTCGCAGGAAACGGAAACGCTTGTCCCAATAGACCGCGTATGGCTACATCATTAAGCAGGATATTCGCCACGTTCAGATTCTTCCAAGACCTTTTCTGACTGTAAATTAGCAAAATCGAGAGCATGATGAAAAGCACCAAGATTATAACAAGAACGAGGTGGTGAACTATGATTGCATAAACCCGATTTATCGGCAACTTTGCTGAAACAGGGAGCATCAAGCAGTAATTTGTCAGCAAGAATGGGTAACTGGCAGTATCAAGGTCTTTGTTTACATTTAAGGCCTCCAAAGAAATGCCAATATCAAGCTCATCTTCACTTACCCTCCTTATTATATCTAAAAAACTGACTTTCTTGTTTAGCGTTTCATATTGCAAAGTGGCATTTACCTTCTGTGCAAAGTTAGTGATCAGATTGCCCACATAGCCCTTTAGCTTTTTTTCTCCGCTTTTTGCAATCAAACACACCATGGATCGAGGAGCCACTAGATCTGCGATTGCTTTGATCGGTTTTTGATGCATATTTTGAAAGTTTTCAATGAAAATGGGATCACTTGTCATCAGATGTTTTTCCACAAGGTTGGGATGTGACAGGAAGCGACAGGCGAATATCACTCTCGTCTTCTTGAAGTCTTCTCTTACCATCGCCACATTATATTGCTCCTTAAGTGAATAGTTATTACATACAGAATCCGGCTGGATGTCCTCTGGTAAATAGATCAAACGTCTGTTTTTTGCAGTTTAACACGATTTCGGTAATTGGCCTCCTTCTCCTCTTCTGGGCCGCAACTGAGGATCAAAGTTAGGCTGCTGAAACCCCAATCGAATTCGGTGCTACCCGAAGAGACCAAAACCATCGGTACTTCCAAACGTCTGGATAGGAAATGGAAAGCGCATTCCTTCCCATAGACAAGCAGGGTATCGAATATCTCTTCCTGGCGCAGTTTCAGAAGAAGTTGGTACAATTCCTCTTGTGGGTCATCTTCTCTTTGAGTGGTTATATCTGGTAATTGACCTCTTATCTCTCCAAAACAGAGAAGGAGAAATGCTAACCCAACCATAGTTTTTACCAAACTGTTTGGATATCATGACAGTTCACTGCTTTTTGTTCTGTGGCTTGTTCATTTAAATACTTCACATGTTTAAAACCCATATAGGAAAAAAACATGTTGTAAAAGAGGTGGTCCCAACAAGTGAAAATGTTGTTGGAGCGATAAACGATTTTGTCTAATAGTTTTTATAGCTAAGAAGACCTTCAGAAGGTTTCAAGTTGACTCAATTTTCTCATGCACTTTCCGTGTTGTTGATATCGAAATGTGGCTGAAGTTCCCTTGACCCAATATAAACAATAACTCTAAAATATGTTTGCTTTTTACTTTATCAGTAAATTTTAATAGTCTGAATTTATATAACTATGATAATGTTACAAATCCAATAATATATTTCTTTTTCTGTTTTAATGAATCTGATTTAGGTATTTAATTAATAAAATTCACTAATATACTATTTAATACTTGGAAAACCACTTATTTACCTCCGTCGCCTCCACAACCGATTACACCTCTCACCGCATCGAGATATATCCAGTATAAAGCAGCAAATACTAGCTGCGATGGCTCCCATATAAAGCTTAAGTATCCAGGAAATATCGTCGAGCAGTAAGCTGTCCTCAGTTCTTTGCTTGTGACTGAGGTCTTTCATGGGTGCTAGTTTCAATCTAACCATTTCAAGGAAGCTCTGGCTCTTCCAGAACCCCACCAAGCCGAATTCGTGCTGCCGCATCATGTGGTCATTGAAGAGGTGTCGATGGGGCAGATATCGTCGCAGGGGGGTATTGAAGAACATAAGCTCATTAAAGCATAGATCGGAGGCCAGATAAAAGGCGGGCTCTTCGAAAAACTTCTGTTGCGCCTCAAAGCCACTCCATCGATCCACAGAAATCGGATATATAAAACTTGTATTCAAGGAGTCACGCATGTCTAGGTATTTTGACCAGTCGTCGAAAATCATCAGGTGATCCTCGCTGATTTCACGAAAATGAGAATTGTTTAAGGAGGTAAGGACCTTTACTTCAATCCTGCTTATCGCCAGCTTTTGCGAAAAGTTTCCGATATCGCGAAAGGCGCGAATAGACGGTTCGGACGGAGGTCGAGTGAAGTACGTTTGCAGATAGGCCTCATACATGGTGGTGATCATAACGCTGGCGAAGCACAGGACGAAGATGACAAGCTTGAGGTGCTTGCTGGGATTGGGGGGAAATGGAAATGATTGGCCCAAAAGGCCTCGAAGGCTTTTGTCATTCAAAAGGACGTTGGCCAGGGTGAGGTTCCGCCAGGAAAGGTTTTGGGTGTAGATTATCAGAACCGAGAACACACACAACAGAACGAAGATAATGCTGAGAACCTGTGAGTCCACTATCATCGAGTACACCAAGTTGTAGGGCAGTTTGGCGGGCACTGGAATCATTAGGAGGTAGCCGGTCAGCAAGTAGGGATACCCTACGTTATCCATACCCTTAGTCTGCAAGGAACTGGTCAATGCGGTGCCAATGTCCAGAATGTCCTGCTTTGCCCAGTTCAAAATATCATCCATATTGGCTTTCTCAACTCCTAGCTCTGTAATGTTTATAAACTGCAGCTTGGCATTCAGTTTCTGGGCGTAGGTGTTCATCATGTTGGCCAGATAGCCCACCATCTTGGTCTCGCCAGTCTTCTTATCCTGATAAACTATGGTTCGAGGCACCATACGATCTGGCACCGTTCTAATCGTAGTCCCATGCATATTCTGAAAGTTCTCAATGTATATGGGTTGGTCTTCAGAAAAGTGTCCTTCCTTATAGTTGGGTGTCTGAAAGTAGCGACAGGAATAGATGGAATCCGACTGATAAAAGCTTGACTTCACCATAGCAATGTTATGCTGCTCCTTCTGGGAATATTTGTTACAAATAGACTCTGGTTCACTATTATCCTGTAGGTAGATCAGTCGCCTGGTTCTCTGCAACTTCAGTAGGGTGTTCGAATTCTCCTCCCTATCTGCATCAGACCCACAGGTCAATATAAGGGTCGAGGTACTGAAGTTCCAAGTATAATTGGTACTTCCCGACCCCACAATGACTGTGGGGATCGCCAAGTGTCTTAGTAACGAATGGAACACACATTCTTTTCCGTAGACCAGCAGTGTATTATACTCTTCTTCCAAATTTAGTTGCAAAAGAACTTGAAGTAATCTATCCTCCAACTCCAGATCTGTAGGACGAGTAATATTGAATGACTGGGCACTCAACTGGCCAAAGCACCAGAAAATAAGGACGATCCATCCCATAGCCATCGCGGAACTGTTTGTGATTCTCGCAGGACGAGTCCTTTTTATAATTGCCTAGCCCCAAATCGTTTTGAAAGGTATTTCGAAACCATGTCAAAAACTTTACACCAGGTTATCATGCAATTTCCGTGTTCAACACATTTAGTCTAACCATGTGTGTGGCAATTAGCGGCTGCACTTTAAAGTGTTTGGCTGACATTTATGCGGGACATGAGATTCATTTAGCTGAGAATAACTGGTCCTGGGGGCAAACCATAATGCTGGCCTTGTGCGTGAGATTGCCCCATTTGAATGTCTCGAAAGGCCTTTAACAACTTCCGCTGCAACTCGAAAATGAACTCGTACACCAAGTGCATTCCCATTCCGATGCATGTTTTCAGAGCGCTGGGAAGACAGACAATTCGATTGCTGAAACGAAATTTTCCGGCAATTTAAGCCAAGTCGAGCTCAATGCATTCGATTTTGTGACTCGGACCGACTGGGCCCGCATGGAAAGTGTAGAAACGCAAACATTTCGTTTTATGCTCTTAATTGCAGTGCAAGTGGATTTCAATTATTCAAATGAGTCGCTTCCCCAACACATGCAGCTGCACTTCCGAACTGCCACAAACTGGTCCGAACGCCATGCGTTTTTGGCCAAGAGAGTTTCGGGGGAGATGGCTAAGGCGAAGGCGAAGGCGAAGGCAAGGCGACACTGAAACAGAAACTGAATTTCTTCTGCTTCATCATCTGGCTATAAGGCGATGATATCGTGGCTTTATCTCTTCGGCCTGCCTTTTGCCATTTTGCTCTCCGCCACGAATGACGTTTCAGCGAAAGTTGTTACGTTACCATCATCGACAACCAGCACCGAAAGCCTATGCAAAACCGGTCGGTCATTGATTTTTGGTTACTGCAAATTGTCTGGCCATGACCAGCTGTGGAGCACAACTCATCCCATCTCCGCTGCAACTGCTTTTGCTTTTGCTTTTGCATTGCCAACTGCAACTGAAGCTGGCAAAAATGCTTTGTTGTCACTTGGCCCGCTCCACACTGCGTATGCTTGATTTGGCTGTAATGGCCCGCGTGCGTGCGAGTGTGTGGCGAATTTCGCTGTTTATGGCCGGTAAATGTTTGCATAGTCAACCAGTTGCAGTGCCAGACGAACATTGTCTGATATATTTCAAAGAAAATATTTTGTTAATAAACATACTTCAAAGAAAACCGATAAAGTAGTTGATTGGTCGCCTATGGAGTATTATTTAATGGACCTGTATATTTTCCTAGAAGCACTTCAGTTGCTCGTAATAGTTTTCAAAACTAATTGTTTTGTGTTAATTGTGGCAAAGTGTCTAGTTTTTATGTTTTTTGAACAGTTGTGCAATACCTATATAGATTTTAAAGCGGCAGTTTTGTTGAAAAACAATTACTAACTAATTTTCTTGCTGGTTTCTCATAATAATGTGGCTTTATAGTTTTCCGTTGGTTAAAAAAACCTTTACATTTTGTATATTTTTGGAAAAATTTTGTTTCAGTACAAACCAGTTTGTTTCATATTTAAATTGTATTGGGTTAAACAAATAACAGTTAGAGATGCAACAATGAATTTCATAATATTTTTATATTTATAGCTACTAATTAAATAGTGTTAATTAGGGCTAATTTGCAGGTTTTTATTTTGTTTTAAAAATGTTGTAAGCGCTGGACATTTGTTAAGCTATTACATATCTACAACTATAGTTTATATATATAAATATATTGTATTAAAAATATATAAGCTTAATTGTTTTCTTCAATAATGGTATTTTATTAGCTTATAAAACATGTTATCTTTTTCGTTTCTTTTGAACAAATATTTGCTTTGTTTATAAACGTTGTATGCCTTTTTTCTGTTTTATTGGATCTAATAGTAAAATCATAAATTAAACACATTAAATCTGAAAAATTAAAATTAGTAGGGGCATGTAGGAAACCCATTTCATTTGCCCCACTGGCCCAATATATCTTTATCGCATAAGAACGGCTTATTATGATAATTTAACAAAACTGGTTGCACTTCCTTTCACTCCCAACTCTTTTGTCTGGCCTGTCAAATCGCTGGTAACCCAAGGAGCCATAAAACCAGAGCCAATAGCCACCGAAATCTGCACAAGCTATTCATTAGGTCTTCGATTTGGCTTTTGTTTTGGGCCATTTCTTTTTTGCCCGAGCATTGTATTTTTGGCGTGGCTCACTTAATGTGCCCACTTTTGGGTTTGTTTGTCCGACATTTTGCCGGCGATTTTAACACACATTGACCAGACAGCTGGCGGCACAATTTCAGTTTTCGGTTTCAATGCGGGCTACTCTCTTTCATTTCCTCGTCTGAAGCATTTGCCATTGAAAGTAAAATTGCTGCTGGCATCCAGATTCACTTTCGATGCTTTGATTGAGAATACTTGAATCTGGTATTGGAATCTTCAAGTCGAACCGCAAAACTCACCACGAGGTGAGAGGGTACAGACCATCTTCAGCCAACGAAGACGAAGAGAGATGGTAACTCTCTCGACTGATTCTCTCTTTCGACGACTTCGTCTTCGTTTTGGCCAAGTTGTTGGCCACAGTCGACTTGAAGTTTCAGTTACAATACGGCAGCGAATCGGCCCGGTTGCAATTTCCACAATTGCTCCGCGCGTGTCTTGAAAAATCGAGTGTGTATCCTGAAGGATAATCGCTTGAAAAAAAAAAGAGTGGGTGCAGTGCAAGATCGACTATATTTATAACATATCTAAAACCAAACGCGAGTGCTTATTAAATATAGTTTTGATTTTCAGCATCTTCCTGCCACGGATCACGGATTTAATTTGCATCCTGCTGCGAGATGAAAACTCTGCCATTTTTGGTAAGTGGCTGGAATAGGCCCTGTTTTCAATGTTAACTGGCTACTTATGCAACCAGTTAGCGATCATCAATCTCCAGAGGCGTCATCGCTGGCTTGACCTGCGATGTGCGACCTCTTCCCTCTTTGTTGACATTGACAAATCGTGTCATTCCATTACAGGGCCCCAAACAAAAGTAAGCGAAGTAAGCCAAGTGTAAATTGCCTTCCGGCTGCCGCGACTGCAAGCCTTTAACTTGGCACTTGTTACGCGAAGAAATGTCTGCCTATCTCATGGATCGCTTTATTTGTATCCATGCGATCCGCACATGTGCGGATTTGCCCAGCAAATTGTCTCATTGTTTCCACGACTCTTGTTAGCACTGCCATTGGCTGATTTGCACATTTCCCTGAATTGCATTGCTAAAGTTTTTTTTTTGTTTTGAGTTAACAAATTTTTTGGCCTCTAATGTGATCACGGGGATTTTCTGCCCACAGACTGTGATTTGGAATTTTTTAATGATTGATTGAGTGAGTTTTCCTAGCAGACACAAGACAACTGACAAATAATCATACCATGAAGAGGTATGGGTATTAGTAATGTTGTTTTTAGTAAGTCACAAAAGATTTTGATTTCGTTATGTTATGACTTATAACATACACCTTTATTGGACCTCTTTTTGTGTTTCCTTTTTAGTTTATTGGCATTGAACCCATTTAGCGTGTAAAATAATGATGAATGATTAATTTATACGGATCTTATGAGTGGTTTGAAACCTCTTAATAATCTAATTATCCCAAAAGTATCGCTTACATCTTACATTACAAATTAATCATGCGAGGATTAATGAAAACTGTAAATTCATATTTTAATTTTACATTTCCTGCTAAGCCCGGGTCACTACTTATATTTCGATCTGTCTGAACAAATTGTTTCTCTCCATGCATCTCATTATTTACACAATCATACTCCTTTTGCAATATGGAACCACATGCAATCAGCCACCTGCTGAAGAACCGAGTGGGGCAGTTGGCTGCGCTCATTTGACGTCTTCATCTGCATCATCAGTAAAATCAACACGAGATCTGAGCACAAATCCAAACTGTCCTCCTTTCGATCTCAGTCTTTTCGTCTGCCTTTCAAAACCGAGGCGCCAAATGGCCATCAGATGTGGCTTTTGCAAAAGAGCAGTCAGAGATGACTCTTAACTTTTGCAGCCGAAAATCCCCCTGATGATCATTAGTAATTGCTATTTGGATCATGATGTGTGTAACCTTTACAAAAGACGTGTAAGTCTCGTCGTTTATTGAACTTCTTTTCTGTTCAATGCAGTTCCAAATAAACGAATAAATGCCAAAGTGGTATTGGCCCAGAAAGTAATTATTTGGATTGTGAGGAAAACTACGAGTATTTCATGGCTAATTTTCGGGGCAAATTGGAAAAGAAAATGCTGATTGTCATTGCGCATGTTTGTCGAAGACGAAGAATGGGCTGGCTTTCTGTTCGAGGCTTTTGGCCAACGGCTATTCACGACACCCATTGACTTCAGCACCTGTTGCTGGGTTGTGTTTCCCCTGGCCCAAGACTAGTGGTTCCCAAATAGGCCGAGGCTGAGCATATTTTAATATGCTGCACGCATGCAAACTGTCCATTTGTTGCTTGTAGAGTGTAGAAAGTTGATTGGATTTGTTTCGTCTTTGGATTTGGATTTTGAATTTATTTTTGATTCGATTATTATTGTGAATTTGGGTGGCCTGCCGAAAAGTTTTCGACAAGTGCAGCCCTGCGATTTGTTTTCAAATAAGGAATGCACCTTTCACTTCTCGTTCAATTATTTCCTTGCTGCCATCGAAAGATGCCCACCGAATAAAAGGAAAACTTTTGCAATTGAAGACGAGTTGCCAGTGGCCAGTTTTTCGGCTCTCGAAGCGGCCAGATGTGAATGTACCGCCGAGATGTACAGATGTACCAGGGATATGGATGCGATGGTTTGGCGACGACACACGAATTCATATATTTTGGAATGCGGTTTTCGACCGCAGACGATTTTCTGTTTGGCGCGCAATTACACCGTACAAGTATCCGCAATTCGGTGGTCATCGTGCGGGCTCATATTTATTTAATTAAATGTTGCTCAAGCCATCAGAGACCAGCATCTTGAACTGCAGACTGCACGCATTCGCCATGAATATTAATGGGGAACCGAAATTGCTCGGCCGTCGATTAGGCAGCAGCCTACTAATTTGTGGCCCTTAATTATTTGACTTTTCACCGACGATGAGAGGGCGAAAAAGAGAGCATTACGTAATGCCCGGGTCGTGAATGCGGCCAGAGTTCAACGCGGTTCCGGCTGGCTATCTGCGACCAGGTTTGCCTAATTTATGCGAACTCTTTCCTCTTCGAGGGTTACCGATTGTTTATTTGATTTTTATTTATTTTATGCAACGACCTTGCTCATCGCTTAGCTCGTCACCGCGGTTAAGTAATTAAAAGGAAGACATAAAACCCAGCCACTGACCGCCCTCAACAGAAATGGGTTTTTGAAATTGGTTAGTTAATTGGGATTGTATCATTTGATTGGCTGCTAAACTAGGATTTACCTTTCGTTTCCAAATGGCCGTCGCCATAGGAGCCTCGCGTTCGTTGCCTAAGTCTTTTGTTTTTTTCGCCCCCCTTCGGTGGCAATAACTGCAGTGGCCAATTGTTTTGCAGCTCTGGGTGTTGGACACACCGAGTGTGCCTGGTCACTGGTGTCTTACCAGCTAATTTGCTTGATTTGTCGCCGTTTGCATAACCCGTTTGTTGTCACTGCCAGTACGCAATGTCTGTTC